TTCTGCCCTCACTCTCTTGCTCAGCTCCTCTCAGCAGCTCCCTGTGGCCCAAGGCCTGCCCATCTCCAGGCAGAAAACACCATATGAAGTCCTGCCACCTTCCCCACCCAGACTGTGTTCCTGCAGCAATTAGCCACCAGTGATCCCTGCTCATCCCGGGACCTCTGCATGTGCTGCTCTCTTGCTCCCTTGCCTTTGAGCCACTCAGTTTAGTTCAACTCAGTTGCTCGGTCGTATCCGACTCTTTGTGACCCCATGAACTGCAGTATGCCAGGCCTCTTTGTCCATTACCAATTCCTGGAGTCCTCCCAAACCCATGTCCATTTTGCCATTTAGCTCCCGTGTTATTTCTCCTCTATGGCAGGATGATTTCACTGCTCACCCAGAAGATTTTCCCAGCCTAATCCACTTTCTTCAAGTGGATGCTAAATGTGGAGGAATAGATGTTGGTCCAAATCTGTCATGGCAACTGCTTCCCCCACTGGTGATTGTTCAGGTCAAGGATTTATGACGCAGCTCTGGCCAGACCCTGTAGAAGAAGTTTGCAGGGACTTCTATGAGAGATTTTTCTTCCTGAAAAGAGAGAGATGCCTGGGAAAAGGTGACTCTTGCTTTGGATGGAGGGTTAAATTTGCAGAGGTGATGGCTGGAGTGGAGGCAGCCACCTTGCATCCATGAAGGAGTGACACCCACATTTTGTAATGGTGGAGTAGAGAGGTGGGCGAATTCTAATAAAACTGTTGGGCTACCAGACCCACTGTGAAACTCCCACCTCTCTCAGTTTCTTTAAACATTAAATATTAGTTGCCTCTGTACTTGACAGATTTCCCAACCTCAGGATCCAGCAAAGGGACTGAGAATCCTCAGGAAATTTGACTTTGGAGGCCAGTGGGATTTGATTGTAGAACTCCCACAGAACTGGGGAAACAGACTCTTGGAGGGCACAAACAAAACCTTGTGCATTATCAGGAGCCAGGAGAAAGGAGCGGTGTCCCCACAAGAGACTGAGTTAACTTGCCTGTGAGTGTCCAGGCGTCGCCAGTGGAGGTGCAGGTCTACAGTTTGACCTCAGGCCAAACTAAGGGAGGGGACGCAGTCTCATTAACAGAAAATTGGATTAAAGATTTACTGAGCATGGCCCTGACCACCAGAACAAGACCCATTTCCCCTACAGTCAGTCTGTCCCATCAGGAAGCTTCCATAAGCTTCTTAACCTTATTCATCAGAGGGCAGACAGAATGAAAACCACAACCACAGAAAACTGAACAAACATCACATTGACCACAGCCTTGTCTAACTCAATGAAACTAAGAGCCATTCCATGTAGGGCCACCCAAGACGGATGGGTCATAGTGTAGAGTTCTGACAAAATGTTGTCCACTGGAGAAGGGAATGGCAAACTACTTTAGTATTTCTTGCATTGAGAATACCATGAACAGAATGAAAAGGCAAAAAGATGTAACACTGAAAAATGAACTCTCCAGGTCTGTAGATACCCAATATGCTACTGGAACAAAGTGGAGAAATAACTCCAGAAAGAATGAAGACATGGAGCCAAAGTGAAAATACCACCCAGTTGTGGATGTGATGGAAGTAAAGTCTGATGCAGTAAAGAACAATATTGCACAGGAACCTGGAAAGTTAGGTCCATGAATCAAGGTAAATTGGAAGTGGTCAAACAGGAGATAGCAAGAGTGAACATTGACATTTTAGGAATCAGTGAAATAAAATGGAACAGAATGGGTGAATTTATTTTAGATGACCATTATATCTACTACTGTTGGCAAGAATTTATTAAAAGAAATGGAGTAGACCTCAGTCAACAAAAAAGTCTGAAATGCAGTACTTGGGTGCAATCTCAAAATGAAAGAATGATCTCTGTTCATTTCCAAGACAAAGCATTCAATTTCACAGTAATCCAAGTCTGTGCCCCAACCACTAATGCTGAAGATGAACAGTTCTATGATAACCTACAAGACCTTCTAGAACTAACATCAAAAAAAGATGTTAGTTCATAGGGAACTGTTTCCTATGTTTCATCATAGGGAACTGGAATGCAAAAGTAGGAAGTCAAGAGATACCTGGAGTAACAGGCAAGTTTGGCCTTGGAGTATAAAATGAATCAGGGCAAAGTCTAACAGAGTTTTGCCAAGAAAATGCACTGGTCATAGAAAACACCCTCTTTCAACAGCACAAGAGAAGACACATGGACATCAACAGATGACTAATACCAAAAGCAGATTGATTAGATTCTTTGCAGCCAAAGATGGAGAAGCTCTATACAGTCAGCAAAAACAAGACAGGGAGCTGACTGTGGCTCAGATGATGAACTCCTTATTGCCAAGTTCAGACTTAAATTGAAGAAAGTAGGGAAAACAACTGAATCTGCCAACAATGAAGGAGACCTGGGATCGATTCCTGGGTCAGGAAGATCCCCTGGAGAGGGGAACGGCAACCCACTCCAATATTCTTGCCTGGAGAAGCCTATGGACAGAGGATCCTGGTGGGCTACCATCCCTGGGATCACAGAGAATCAGAGACCAGTCAGGTATGACCTAAATCAAATCCCTTATGATTATACAGTAAAAGTGGCAAATAGATTCAAGGGATTAGGTCTGGTAAACAGAGTGCCTGAAGAACTATGGACAGAGGTTCATGACACTCTACAGGACGCAGTGATCAAGACCATCCCCAAGAAAAAGAAATTCAAAAAGGCAAAATGGCTGTCTAAGAAGGCCTTACAAGTAGAGGAGAAAAGAAGCAAAAAGCAAAGGAGAAAAGGAAAGATATATCAATCTGAATGCAGAGTTAACAAAGAATAGCAAGGAGAGATGAGAAAGCCTTCCTTGGTGATCAATGCAAAGAAACAGAGGAAAACATTAGAATGAGAAAGACTAGAGATCTCTTCAAGAAAATTAAGATACCAAGGGACCATTTCATGCTCATGCAAAGATGGGCACAATAAAGGACAGAAACGGTGTGGACTTAATAGAAGCAGAAGATATTAGAAGAGGTGGCAAGACTACACAGGAGAACTATACAAAAAAAGATCTTCATGACCCAAAAAACCATGATGGTGTGATCACTCACCTAGAGCCAGACATCCTGGAATGTGAAGTAAAGTGAACCTTAGGAAGCATCACTACAAACAAAGCTAGTGGAGGTGATGGAATTTCAGATGAACTATTTCAAATCCTAAAAGGTGATGCTGTGAAAGTGCTGCAGTCAATATGCCAGCATATTTGGAAAACTCCACAGGATTGGAAAAGGTCAGTTTTCATTCCAATCCCAGTGAAAGGAAATACCAAAGAATGTTCAAACTATCGTACAAATGCACTCATCTCACATGCTAGCAAAGTAATGCTCAAAATTATCCAAGCCAGGCTTCAATATTATGTGAACCATGAACTTCCAGATGTTCAAGCTGGATTTATAAAAGGCAGAGGAACCAGAGATCAAATTGCCAAAATCTGTTGGATCATAGAAAAAGCAAGAGATTTCCAGAAAAAACACCTACTCCTGCTTTATTGACTAAGCCAAAGCCTTTGTCTGTATGGATCACAACAAACTGTGAAAAATTCTTCAACTGGTGGGAATACCAGACCATATTACCTGCCTCCTCAGAAATGTGTATGCAGGTCAAGAAGCAACAGTAGAACAGGACATGGAAAAAACAGACTGGTTCCAAATTGGGAAAGGAGAATATCAAGGATGTATATTGTCACCCTGCTTATTTAGCTTATATGCAGAGTATATCCTGTGATATGGTGGGCTGGATGAAGCACAAGCTGGAAACAAGATTGCTGGAAGAAATATGAATAACCTCAGATATGCAGATGACACCACAATTATGGCAGAAAGTGAAGAACTAAAGAGCCTCTTGATGAAAGTGAAAGAGAAGAGTGAAAAAGTTGGCTTAAAACTCAACCTTCAGAAAACTAAGATCATGGTGTCTGGCCCCATCACTTCATGGCAAATAGATGGGGAAACAGTGGGAACAGTGACAGACTATTTTCTTGGACTTCAAAGTCACTTCCGATGGTGACAGCAGCCATGAAATTAAAAGATGCTTGCTCCTTGGAAGAAAAGCCATGACCAACCTAGACAGCATATTAAAAAGCAGAGACATTACTTTGCCAACAAAGGTCTATCTAGTCAAAGCTATGGCTTTTCTGGTAGTCATGTATGGATGTGAGACTTCGACTACAACTATAAAGAAAGCTGAGTGCCGAAGAATCGATGCTTTTGAACTGTGGTGTTGGAGAAGACTCTTGAGGGTCCCTTGGACTACAAGGAGATCCAACCAGTCCATCCTAAAGGAATCAGTCCTGAATATTCATTGGAAGGACTGATGCTGAATCTCCACTACTTCGGTCACCTGATGCAAAGAACTGACTCATTGGAAAAGACTCTTGATGCTGGGAAAGATTGAATGCAGGAGGAGAAGGGATGACAGAGGATGAGATGGTTGGATGGCATCATCAACTAGATGGACATGAGTTTGAGCAAGCTCCGGGAGTTGCTGATGGACAGGGAAGCCTGGCAATGCGACCATAGCGTTGCAAAGACTCAGACACAACTGAGCCACTGAACTGATGTGGCTGAAGCCACTGTAAGTATGGATTTCTATCATTTCAGCCAAACACATAACTAAATGATACAGCCTCAAATCCTAGTTGAAAACTGTCTGTCCCTAAGCAGTCCCCAGCAGACTTGGGTCTCTGCCTCTGCTCCCACACCCTTCACCCATGAAAGCAGCTCAGGCACCATGGTGTCCTTTTGGCTTGGCTGGCTTGTCTGTATGTGGTCTGTGGTCACCTCCGGGTAGGCCTCTGCCTGTTCTCTGTGCACCCTGAGCCTACACACTATGGGCCTTCAGAACCTCAGGGACCTTGCCCCATCCCTACCATGGCTGGAATCCTGAGCTGTCAAAAGTCTTGTGGATTCTGTTTGGCTCAAGCACTGCTTCCAGACCCTGGGGGCTTCACTACCTCTATAGCATGAACAGCAAGGTCCCTTGTAAGCAGAGCTTCCCAGCTGTCAGATCTCACCTCTCACTTGCTTTCTGGTGCTATTGTTTGTCAGCTGGGTCTCTCCTTTGGCACCACAGGAGGCTGCAGTGTAGAGAAAGGAGGACTGGAACTGAGTTTCAAGGGAGATATGGAAAGGACAGTGATAGATGCATCCTGTCCAAACTGAGTGAGGTTCCCTGTATATTCTGGAAAAGGCCTCGTGTGCAAGAGGGGAATATAGCCCCTAAGGCCCTAAAGAAGAAGTCCCCAGGTATGATGGAGCGAGCATCCCCTTTAGCAGCTCCAGATGGGACCCAGTGACCCAGGAACTACCCATGTGGTCACATGAGCATGACTATGTAATTGACAAGCAAAGGAGGAGAAAGGGGTACAGGTTTGCAGGGAGTTAGAGGGTGGGGCAGAGAAGGAAATGGCAACCCACTCCAGTATTCTTGCCTGGAGAATCCCAGGGACAGGGGAGCCTGGTGGGCTGCCATCTATGGGGTTACACAGAGTCGGACACGACTAAAGTGACTTAGCAGCAGCAGCAGCAGAGGGTGGGGTGGGGTCTGGTGAAGTAAGGTCCCCTCCTTCCTTCAGTATGAATTGCTTTTTTTTTGAGTTTCAAAGCAGCCACATGGCAGTTTCCAATCATTAGGCTCCCATGGTAGCCTGCGTGGGGCTGGGTGTCTTAGCCCCTTCACGTGGACAAGCCCCACCATGTGGCTTCCCAGAGTTCAGGGAGCAGGATCTGGGGCTTCTGTTGGCCACACACTTCCTCACTGTAGCCTGGCTACCTCCCTTCTCTGAACCTCTGTCTTGTCCTCTAATCGGGGACAGGAGCTGCTACCTTAACAAGACTAACCCTGTGAGGGCTAATTAGGGGAATCCTAGAGTTAATAGCTGGCTCCAGCAGGTTGAGTCTATTCAGATCTCCAGATTAAAATAAGTCTTGCAGTGTTATGTGGAATTTCTTCCCTGAGGCCAGATGAAACCCACACCGGGGCATTTCCAGGGTCTCCACTTAGCCAGCTGGACATCAAACCCAAAGGGGCTCAAACAAGCTAACAAACAAGCAGGAGAGAATGATCATAACTAAGTCCAGGGCACAGCTTCTGGCTGGACTGTACCTGGGTCTCAGGGACGTCAGCAGGAGTTGTCTTTCCCCACCTCTCAGCTCTGCTTACTGCTGTCATCCTCACCCAAGTAGCTCTGCCTCTGTGGAACAAGGCCTCCAACTGCCACAAGCTGACGTCACATCCCTCCCACTGCCACAGGCTGGCCTCAGGTATCCCCTGTTCCTAACGGAAATAAACCTCCATTCCCCAGATTCCAGCTTATGCCCTGATTAGTCGCTTGTCCAGCCCTGAGCCAATCACAGGCGTCCAGGAGGATGGAACACGCTGATTGGTCAGGGGGAGGTCATGTGACCACCCCTCTGGGAAGCCTGTGAGCTATTCAGCATATTTCAGAGAGGGAGACAGTGTGATGCCCCAAGAGCAGGGGTGAAGGTGCAGCTGAAGGATCTGCTGTGATGTGTTTCTGGGATGTACCTGCTTACATCCTCTTCACACACCCAGTTTCCCCTATTTATAAAATGATTTGTGATGGATCTCTTCCCTTCCCAAGCCCCATTTCACTCACCCACACCAAACAGGATCAAGACCTCCTGGAGAGGAGACAGGATTGGGGATCCTCTCCCAGCTTCAAGGCTTGCTTTTAGTGTGTGATTGCAGTCATTTATTCAGTCAACAAACATCCACTGAGCACCACCACCTGCTGCTATAGGTTTACAGGACTGTTGGTTGAGTACTGGGCATTGCCCAGGGGCCTCCCAAAGGGAGTGAATTTTGTCTGAGGAGCATCTCAGGCACAAATCACTGAATAACTGAATCGCTTTGTTATACCCCTGAAACTAAAACAGTCTTGTAAATCAACTTTACTTCAGTTAAAAAAATACACCCTCATTAAATTTGTCCTTAAAGTTGTAAAGTTTTCCCTTTCAAATGTAGGTTCCTAATATGCCTATAATTGCTTTTGGTGGTATTTTCTAAGGTAGGGAGTCCAGTTTCGTTTTCCAAATGGATGCCAAATTGTCTGAGCACCATTTATTAAATGGGCCTCCTTTCTTCATTTACGTATTAAGAAACCTTTTTCAAACTCCTAGTATCAAGGGTCTCAGGTCTTTGGTGATTTGTAGAGCCCCCTCAGTCATGCTCCCGTCTGTACCTTCTCCCCTCCTTTCACCATTGCAATTTCTAGTAGTCACAAGTGCCCCAGAAAGCCCCATGTAGTGACCTGTGGATGCTTCTGTGAGGACAGGGGACATGAGCACGGAGTACATCATGATCATGTGACCATGCTGTGTGACCCCAACATGGGGTCTGGCTTCCTAATTCAAGAGTCTGTGTATCTTCCTTTTGGTGTCTGGCTGTGCACAGTAGGGCTGGTAGATTGGAACCTGGGGTTGTGGGGCTGGCAGTGGAGAGATTAGACCTCACAGCTTGCTTCTGCATTCATTTGCCTCCTATGGGCTCCGCCTAGCCAATGTGGAGACATTTCTGACACCTTTCTCCTAAAAGCCTGAGAGGTGCTCACTGCTTCTGCTTCTCATCCTGTCTATTCTTCCTTATGTCATGTTGACTGCAAGGCACCTGTTGTTACGTGTTTTTCATAACAATGAAAAAGATGTAGGATTGATACAAGCTCCAGCATGGATGAACACTGACAACATCCTAAGTGAAAGAAGCTACCCAGGAAAGGCCACCCAGGTCACATGCACATCTGATGCTTTAAATCCATCCAGGATTTGAATATGAGAGAAAGTCTCAATCAAGTTTCCAGAAAAAAGAAAGAAAACCAAACCAGAATGAAAGAAGATACTACCATAAAGTTGGGACAGCTGGTGAAAGTTGAAGTGGACCCATGGATCAGATGATTAGAAGATAATTTCACAATCCTCATTTTGGGGATATGTGCTGGGTTCCTGGGAGAGTATCCTTGTTTGGGGTAAAACACACTGGAGTATTTTGTATGAAGGGGCAAATATGAATACTTTGATTCTTGCTATTGAAAATTTTCTGTAAGTTTGAAATGACTGAAAAATAAATTACTTATCAAAACAACCATGTCAATAGGACAGAAAAGTCAAGACAATATCAAACATGGCTAGAGAGCCAAGTCCTACTCAGATCCTGCTCACCCCAAGTGATGATACAATTCGCCCTTGTAGGATTTCATATGATTGTAAGGGACACTGTGGGAAGATTCTATTAGGAGTCACTCTCTTGGGTGTTGTGGATGACCTGGATGTGGTAGAAACAGTGGGATTTCTAGTTCTAGCTTTCAACGCCAACCCACCAAAAATCTCTTAGATTATATGAATTCAGTAAAGCTGCAGGACCCAAAGTGAATACATAAATCTCAGCTGTATTCCTGTACACAAATAATGAACCATCAGAGAGAGAAATTAAGAAAGCAGTCCCATTTAAAATAACATCAAAAGAACAAAATACCTAGGAATAAAGGTATCCAAAGACATGAAAGACTTGAGCACTAAAATCATTAAGATATTGGTAAAGAATTTGAAGACTCAAATGAAGGAAAGAAATCCTGTGCTCATGGATGGAAAGACTGATTAGTGCTAAAATGTCCATTCTAACCCAAACAGCACACACATTCAATGCAATTCCAACCATACTTCCAATGGTATTTTTCACAAAAACTGAACAAACAATCTTGACAGTTGCATGGAACCACAAAGGACCCTGAACAGCCAAGGGGGTCCTGAGAAAGGAACAGTAGTAGCTGGAGGAAACTCACTCCCTGAATTCAAACCATCTTCTGCAGCTATGGTAACCAAACCATGTAGAAATGGCACAGAAAGAGGGAACTAGCCAGAACATTAGCAGGGAGAACCAAGGGGAAAAACCTGCTAATATGTGGTCAGTTAACTGATGACAAGTCTGCCAAAGACACACACCTGGGAAAGGACGGTCCCCTCAATAAACTGCTATAAAACATCCTCACAAGCCAAAGGACCCTGGACACTGTCTGCACTGCACACAAAACTAGTCCAAACCCACAGTTTTCTACATCAAGCCCTTCCTCTGCTGGGTCCTCTGCAGACAGTGCCCCTCAAGACAGCCAGCTTCTCCTCACTGTTTCTTCACCTCTTCTTCCCATGGCCTCCTGTCGAAACTGAGCTCCTAGGGAACTGAGCTCCACTCAGTGTGGACGCAGCCTTGTGTGGTCCTGAAACCAAACCCGGGTAGGTCCTGAGTAGGCCTATGTCCTGTAGACTGTGCGCAGAGCCGAGTCTGGGGGCCGAAGCGGGAGGCCCTGCGCTGGTAAGAGAGGTGGGACTGTCGCCCTCTGATGGCTAACTGGGAAATGCAGGCTGTAGCCATTCCTAGCTCAGGGGAGGCCTAGATTCCTGCTGGTTGTCCTACTGAATCCACTGCATGTTGGAAATTCAAAAGGATGGAGGCAAATATCCTGGGACCTCTAGGAAAAGTAGTTATAGAACTATTAGAAAACACGCACAATGATATGAAATTAGACACAAATTTGACAACTTATACCAAAAGTCATTCAACACTGACCAGAAAAAAATTTAAAATAGTAAACTATAAACAATACAGATATAAACTATAAATAATACAGAAGAAAGCCTACATGATCATGGGTTTGGTTGCCTAGATCATGAGCTTTGACTTTTAACGCACCACACACACAGGACACACACACATATACCATTCATGTGTGTGTGTGTGTATACACATACATCCACATATACATGAATTCATATATTTATAAATAAATAAATATATATATATATAGGAATTTGTGTGTGTGTATATATCATGAATTCATGTATATATATATGAATTCATGTGTGTGTGTGTATATATATACAAGAATTCCTGTCTGTGTATGTATATACATTAATTCATGTGTGTGTATAAAGTGAAAGTGAAAATGAAGTTGCTCAGTCATGTCTGACTCTTTGCCACCCCCATGGACTGTAACCTACCAGGCTCCTCTGTCCATGGCATTTTCCAGGCAAGAATACTGGAGTGGGTTGCCATTTCCTTTTCCAGAGGATCTTCCCGACCCAGGGATCGAACCTGGGTCTCCTGCATTGTAAGCAGATGCTTGACCATGAGCCACCAGGGAAGTCCTGTGTGTGTATATATATACATGAAATTGTGGGTGTGTGTGTGTAGACACATGAATTCCTGTGTGTATGTGTGCATGCATGCTAAGTTGCTTCAGTTGTGTCTGACTCTTTGTGACCCTATGGGCTGCAGCCTGCCAGG